TAAGTTCATCTACAGACCGCGGAAAAGCTTCATAATTTTGGACATTATCCTTTAACACCTTCCAAATATTCTCAATTTGGTTTAGGTCTGGTGAATTCGCTGGCCAGTTATTAGTTATGATTTTATTTTTTGTTAACAATTCTTTGATATTTTCCTGCGTTATGGATCGGTGCATTATCATGCTGAAAAGTCGCATATTTTCCAGTTAATTCCTTAATTCCTTAATTGCTTTATAAAAAGTAACAAGTTAGCTTTTAAGATTCTAAGATAAACATCTGAATTTATTTTTTCATTATATTCATCACAAAATACCAGTGGTCCTTTTAATCCTCACACAAAACACCACAAGCCATTACAGATTTTCGTCCACATTTAAAGGTAGGCACCAAGCAATTAACATTATATTTTTCTCCAGGATGCCGCCAAACTCTTGGTTGTCGTGATAACTTCCCAATTTCTACACTCGTCTCATCAGAAAATTATATTTCCCCAATCATAAATGGTTTTACCTTCATTTTCTTCACACCAGCTAACACAAATATGCGTATGTATATCTGAGATATACGGTTTCTTTGCTGCGATAGGGAATCAAGTCCAGCATCGTACAATACATTTGCGGCAGTCGATACACTATAGTTAAGACCTAAATTGATGACAATTTCGCGGAGTGGTAAATGTCTTTTTTCGTTAACTTTACATAGGAGTAGTTCTTTTCGGTGGTTATTAAGGAAAGGTGGTCTTCAGAACGTGGTAAGTTTTCACTTTTTCCTGTTTTTTATGGGTCACGTCCAAGCATTTTTGCGATTTGGGCGGCATTTATGGTTTCCATATATGCCAGAATCTTCCCTTTTTCAAATTTGTTTAATTGTGTACGGATGGATGTCATTTCTTCACAATAATATTATTAAGATGTTAACGTCAAGTTTGTTGATCAAAGTGGATACATGTACGTGTACTGTATATCTATACGTATTGATTTTTTAAATTTGGTTACACATGTAAGCCGGGGGCGTTACTTTTTGGGGTACTGTACGCACATTGAACTACGTACATATATCACCACTACGTACGTATGTACAGAAACAAATCTACCAGAAATGTCATCATCTTCCTTAGTATCATGGATAAAAACAGCAATTTCCGAAAAACATCTCAAATATTTTAATTTTAACGCTTTTAAAGATAGAGAAGTAATTGGACGTGGAAATTTTGGCGAAGTATATAAAGCAACTTTAAACGACGACTTGACGGTAGCTTTAAAAAGTCTTTATGTAAATAATGAAGACTATGAACGAAACCAAAAAGAATTCATTAAGGAGGTAACTTTATTACTTTACCTGATAATTAAAATTCCAACAATAAAATCTAATAAAACTGTACGTATCAATTAGTTAAAATTCCTTCTTCAAGTTCAGTATCATCCAAATATTATTGACTTTTATGGAATTACTAAAGGTAAATTTTACAAATGTGACTTAATTAAATATAACTATAAAATTTATTAATAAATGTTATAAACTTCGACTCTATCAGAACCCAGTATTCAAAAATACATGTTGGTTTTTAATTATGCTAATTGCGGAACCCTTCGAAATTATCTGGCAAAAAATTTCAATAAGTTGAAAGGAATTGACAAGTTGTCTTTAGCCCGACAACTTGCAAAAGGCGTAAAATGTATACACGATGAAGGCATTATTCATAGAGATTTGGTAAGAATCTTATTCATTTCTTTCGACTTTAAATGAAGTTTAATCTTTTATTTAATTTTCTCATATCAAAGAATCATAACAATATCCTTATTCATAACGGAGAAATCAAAATCGCTGACTTGGGTTATTCAAAACTCTCGGATGATGATTTCAATTCGAAAACTGATTTTGGAATTATAAGCTATGTTGATCCAGCTTTTCTAAAGGATCCGGATGATTTTCGACGAGACGAAAAATCGGATATTTTTAGTGTTGGCGTTTTATTATGGATGATTTCTAGCGGTCGTCCTCCATCTAATAAATATGGGTACGTTTATAAAAATGTTCTTGAGAAAGAAATAACAATATTTGGAACTCCTCCTGAATACGTCGAGCTCTATCAAAATTGTTGGGACAATACACCAGCAAATCGTCCAACTATATATAAAGTAAATCAAGACCTAAAAGCAATAGTTTGGTCGCCACCGGAATCTCCTGTTTTCATACCTGAAACTTTATCTAAAATATCATATGCTTTAGAGATTGATGACCATACTTCGAAACTCCAAGAGCAATTATCAGAAAGTTCGGATTCATCATGTGAAGATTATTGTGTAGACTCTGAAAATTTAGCATCTTATCATGAAAAACTTTCAATTTCGAAAAATACACCTGAAATTATTGTTGATGGTTTATTAAATTTGCTAGATAAACAACTTAATTACGAAAAAAATGTCTTGACGATTGGCAGATCACTAGAATCATATTATCAACAGAACACGCCAGATTCTTTCGACGTTTATGCTTTTTGTACTTTTTTACATAATTCGAAAGACAAAACCCAATATTGGACACTCTTAGGATTTTTCTATTATACTGGTTGTATAATAAACAAAAATTCAGAGCTTGCAGCTAAAATTTTCGAAGAGTCAGCAACCAACAATCATGCTATGGCGCAATATTTTATTGGAAATTGCTATGAAGAAGGAAAAGGAGTACAAAGAGATTCTGTAAAAGCATTTCAGTGGTATGTCGAATCAGCGAGGGGCGAAGATTCTAGGGGAAAATGTAAACTAGGTATTTATTATGAAAATGGAATCGGAACACAAAAAGATGAGAAAAAAGCGTTTGAGTGGTATTTGAAATCAGCAGAGAGTGGAGACGCAGGAGGACAAGGCAATCTTGGTCGGTGTTATCAAAATGGAATCGGAACACAAAAAGATGAGAAAAAAGCATTTGAGTGGTATTTGAAATC